ATTTAGGTTTGAACAAGCTGTCCGTGCCAAGTTTTGGTAGTTTTGGTTGTCATTTCGCAATTTCAGCTCCTAAACGAGCCTTTTAAGTTTTGTGTATTACAAATTTTCCTTCTAATTTTCTAACCGAAGATCCAATAGAGGTCTCGTTTGTTCCTACAAGTCTATTTAGGCTTGAAAAGGCTATCCGTGCCAAGTTTCGATGGTTTCGGTGGTCAATTTGAAATTTCAGCCCCCGAACGGGCCTTTTAAGTCTTGTGTTTTACAATTTTCCTTCTAACTTTTCAACCGGAGATCCAATTGAGGTCCCGTTTGTTCCTACAAGTCTACTTAGGCTTGAACAAGCTGTCTGTGCCAAGTTTCAGTGGTTTCGGTAGTCATTTCAAAATTTCGGCCCCCGAACGGGCCTTTTAAGTCTTGTGTTTTACATTTTTCCTTCTAATTTTTTAACCGGAAATCCAATCGAGGTCCTGTTTGTTCCTACAAGTCTATTTAGGCTTGAAAAATCCATCCATGCCAAGTTTTGGTGGTTCCGGTGGTCATTTCGCAATTTCGGCTCCCGAACGGGCCTTTTAAGTCTTGTGTTTTACAATTTTCCTTCTAATTTTCTAACCGGAGATCCAATCGAGGTCCTGTTTGTTCCTACAAGTCTATTTAGGCTTGAACAAGCTGTTCGTGCCAAGTTTCGGTGGTTTCAGTGGTCTTTTCGCAATTTCGGCCCTCGAACGGGCCTTTTAAGTCTTGTGTTTTACAATTTTCCTTCTAATTTTCTAACCGGAGATCCAATCGAGATTCCGTTTGTTCCTACAAGTCTATTTAGGCTTGAACAAGCTGTCTATGCCAAGTTTCGGTGGTTTCGGTGGTCATTTCACAATTTCGGCCCCCGAACGGGCCTTTTAAGTCTTGTGTTTTACAATTTTCCTTCTAATTTTCTAACCGGAGATCCAATAGAGGTCCCGTTTTTTCCTACAAGTCTATTTAGGCTTGAATAAGCTGTCTGTGCCAAGTTTCGGTGGTTTCGGTGGTCATTTCGTAATTTTGGCCCCCTAACGGGCCTTTTAAGTCTTGTGTTTTACAATTTTTCTTCTAATTTTCTAACTGGAGATCCAATCAAGGTCCCGTTTGTTCAACACAACCAGACATATTAAATGAAATGCTTGTAGTGATTTGAAAAGTAAATTATGAAAAATATACTTACAAAAGTGTTTGTCAATAAGATTCCTCTGATGAATAATCTAATTTGTTCTTGCTGGACCTTGGACAAATTCTTCAATGACTCTAGTTCTTTTTTGTATGCTTGAAACCACCTCAGTATGTGCTTGTGCAGTAACAGAAGATCTGGATGATGATGGTTTTGGACCAACTCCAAAGCATTTTAAGTATCCCGATTTCTTTCCAAGAATCTCGATTGACTGCTGCTCCTGAGTTAAAGGTATTGCCCCAGGCTCTAAAGACTCTTCATGTCACTTTTTGAAAGCTTCCTATCAATTTGTAAACAACTTCAAAAGAAACAATAAAAACAACTTTTTAAATGAGATCGTTATTATTCATGTAGTAAATATAATACACAATGTTAAGAAACAAGACTTTCTTGCAAGAGAAACATCTCTCTAGGCATTATTGCATCTTCAGGATAATGGCCAACACCTTCCAACTTAATGACCTCCAATAATTAATAAGGACAAATAGAGATGTATAATCAATGTCAACAATTGAAGAAAACCATTACAATTCAACAAGTCAATTTGAATTAAAAAAGATCAACCTTATATAGTGATTTCAGCAGTAAATCAAGAATAAATAACTTACCTCTTCGTGCTCAATAGTATGAGCTAGTGGAAGAATTACTTGGCCCCCAAAACTTCCAGCTCGAGCCCTTGGTAAGATACAGGGACCAACTTTGACAGCTGCAGCTGAATAAGCATCAATACTGCTGTCTGCCCATTTTGACCTATGCTCCCGCAAGAACCTAAGAAGTATTGCAGGGGGCACATTCTGAAAGAAAGGACAATGCAGAGAAGAAAAAGAAATGCTAAACTTGAAATGAGAAGATGAATCCAAAGGACAAGTAGGAGTGTGAGAAAGCATGCATTAATAGACCACAGTATGACAATAATTTGAAATTTACTTCACTTACTAAGATGCTTCCATCATTAATTAAATCCTGAAAGTTATGTGGAAAAAAAAAAAAAGGAGCCACATAAAAATAAACATAATATTAGTAGATATTATACAAATGTGTGATAGCAGCGTGACAAAATTTTTGCACACTCAAGGGAAACCTAATAACAATCATTGGCATTATTGTGGAACAGATCAACCAATTTAACCATTGCTTACAGCATACCACTCTGGATATGTCTGATCATTTCCTGAAAACCAAAGAATAAAGCAGTGCAACAAAACTCCTATGCTGAAGAGACACAGAAACTAGTCACTTAAACATCCTGATGTACCTGCACTGTATGTTTGAAACTACGAGATGTACAAAGCACGTGCCAAAGATGAGATGGATAAAGTGGAATGTTGAAAAGAAAAAAATTCTGGGCTCTCTAGTGGTTGTATGGTATCAAACCATCTAGAGGCTCCTGATCATATAGACATGGGAATAGTGATAACCTATTTCCAGCAGTTGAACTTAACTTTAACTAGCAGGATTGCGTGCAAGTGTGTAGTGTTGGTGAGTCGGTGACACACAAGGTAGATATCAAGTCTAACCAAGCTAGTTCATTAGTTTAATCCCTTATTCATTTCTTTTTCCAGAAGGTATCATCTATATACTATTATATTTTTATTAATGCAAATTATTATTATTTTTGTTTAATGACTAGGAATCCCTCCAAGGCATGGCCCTTTGGACCCACCCCTATAGGGTAAAATGTAGGATGTACGCCAACGCCCCCACAAGTGTACATTGGGCAAAGCCAAGGAGGTTCGAACTTCGGCGCTTAGTGTTTCTGGTACAAAATACACTACCAGTGCTGAATTTGTTCTGCACAATTCCTTGTTGGCTTTAAAGTTTAAACTACCTGCCAACTTTTCTCTTTGGGTTGGTATCTCAAGGGGGCATGGGCAGTTTTACAACTGAATGGAAGCTAAATCAACTGATTGGTAAACTAATCAAACTCATAGTAATGAAAACAAACATCCATGCTGTGTTTGAGCTATGCACAGTTTGGCTGATTGACAAAGAGGCAGAATCAGCCACATACAAGCTGAGCCCCAGCATATACACCAAAAACAAAAGCTACATAACAAGTCGACAGCATTTGTCATCCTAGGATAATTTAACAATCTGTGCATGAGAAACATAATCAACGAATGAAGTACTCCACAATTTTTTTAATAATGTTTTCCCATGGACTATTCAGATAAATGAAACACTTCCAGTATGCTAACCTGCAAAAGCATTGACGCTTTTGCACACAAGATTGCATTGCTGACGGCTGGAAATCCATTAGAAAAGGTCAGATTTAAGCCCATCAATTTGTCAGGTGAAGAGTTAACAAGGATGCTAACATCATCCATGCCATCATTTTCCATCATAGACCACCCCTCATCAGTAAAACCATTAAGAGCCTCATTGAAACCCCTGCCAGAGAAAATAAAAATAAAAATAAAAATAAAAATCTATCAAGCTCTGGACAGCAGAGAAAACTATTATATTCAATAGATGGTGGTAAAGCAGTAATATATCAACCTGCTCAACCTCTGGCTAAGTGCTCGTAGAACTGCAGGCCTTCTGCTCCAGTTGGTGACATTAGACTGAGAAACCTCCTGAGCTATCTGCCTCAATTGGCATAGAGCCTGTGAGAAATCAAGGAAAGTCAACAAGGAAACCTCCTTATTCACATTTTTTGATGTGAATAATTATCCATTTCAACAAATTATAAAGGCTAGCCAACTTATTTATACAATGAGAAGAAAAAAGCTTTATATATAGATAGCATTCGCTTGTTTGTTATGTGTATATTAGTATATATATATTATATTATTAGGGAGTGATCAAAAAAGCCGAGAATCCAGTACAAAAATTCAAATTCTAGTTCACATCCACAACCCAGAAAATATGAAAACAGAAAGCAATGAAAATGACTCTAATTAGTCACATAGTCAAAGAAATTGCTCATACAAATTCTAGCAAACATTATGCAATATAAAGAGCTATCTGCAATTATTTTCCATAAATTGTTTTGTCATAACCTAACAGCTACTACAAGTCCTTCAAGATTAAACTAGGTAAATTTTATCCAAGGGAATAAAGATAACAAAAGACTTCTATCTGACCTCAATAAAGTTGAGAATGGCACTAATATCAGCTCCATTTGAATCTTGTATGGCTGTAAGTGCTTCAAAGATCATTGCAACTACAAGGAGTTTGGGAATGCCACCACTTTGTAATGAGTTTATTAATTTTAACTAAACTGCTCATACTGTTGCATTAACTATTACATTCAGGGGTTTCACATCCCCAAGTGTCACATTTGAATCCAATGGAAGTCTTATGGCAATGTGATTGGTGATAAGGTTCATATACTAAGATTCAAATTCTGAAACCAATGAAGCCTAAAGAAAAGATAAATAAAACTGAAAGCAAATACTATGATGCCATCTTTTGGACAAAAAAGGATTTGAATTTCATGGGGCCTAAAGCCTCTATCGTAGGTTTGTAAATCCTAGTTTGCTTAGCCACTCAATACATAGAACAACGCTAGTGACAGTGTTTCCTGTTTCTGTTGCCTAATTCTTATTTATCCTTTTGTATTAGTTATTTTCCCCATAGCTGAGTGGAGGCGCAGAATAAACATATCAATAGAAACAAAAGATTTATGCACATAAAAGTTTCTCTCACCAATCAGAGCAACGCCATGAGATTAATTCTATATTCACAAAAGAGAACCAAAAGAAAAGCACACCGTGGAGCAGTTTTCCCATCCTAGTCATCATCAATAAGTGAAGCAAAAGCAGAATTTTGACCATTGGTGAGTGGGCCAGCGGCAACAGCTTTTACTCTAGGAATTCTTATTTTTTCTTTAGAACTGTGTGCAGCAGTACTAATACCCATGTTCCGCCATTTGTCCTGATCATGTAAATAGGCATGAAACTAGTAAATAGCATGCTGGTGTAAATGAAAATCATTCAATAGAAAACATGAGCAAATTAATGATAATTCCTGTTTCAATAAAAAAAGACAAGAAATATAGAAATTACATGGATTAGCAGCTGCAACTAAAAACATTCACAAACTGGTAAAAGAAACAGATAGAATCAGATGCAAATAAAACCATCATCATAGCAGCAAATGAAGCAGAGAGTTGATGTGGCAACATCAACCTCATAAAGATCTTGAATATGTTAAAGAAAACTTGCACAAGCATCATCTTTACCACACAAGATGATTAATAATCCACTAACTACAAACTGAAATCCACCTAAAAATGGCCCACAACATAATGGGTCGTGTGAGGAAATATGGACCGACAAAGGGCCCACAGCAGAACCTCGCAATCAGCCCAATATCACTTCCAGTGCCCGGTCCACCAGCACTCTGCAAACAGAAATGGGTCTAGGCCTAAAAAGAAAAAGCTAAAAATAAGGTCACATATCTTTCAATGTACTTAACCAGATATTTTTCAAGATAATACAAGAAGAAAATGGAAATTTGAATTACAAGCTACAATGACCATATATGGTTTTTATGAATGGTCTACTACTCAATGTAAGTTTAAAATTTTCTTCAACAAGATTGTTAAGAATGAATTTTGCCAAGATTGAACTCACTTTAAGAATGGTTAATTAATCCAATGCTATTCACACAAACAATTGTGCAGGACTCAGAGGGAATTTCAGATCAGTTGTTGTCAAGGGTTCATTATTTGAGACTCCTTAGCTTCCCTTTGCCAACATACTTCCGAATGCCATAGATACTAGAAATGCAACTGCATTCCCCACTTGTATATACCTACAAATTAGATAGAAATAGACAAATATTAGACACCAAGGAAACAATTTAGAGTGCTGCTATTTGCCTCAGACCTTTTTTCTTTTGGACCCTCATCTCTTAATATTGATAATTATTTGTTTATTCACCATGCTGGTTTACTATTTACTTGGGTGACATTTGTTCTTTATTGAGAATATGATTGATAATCTAGTCAAACCTTTGGCAATTAAATTGTGCAAATGTTCATGAACAACTGTTATTTTCTTGTCTTTCCGTGCATATTTCTTCTACAAGGCATCTCGTGACATGGATACACGATTTGGGATTAACAAAGAGCAAAGCGATTTTACTACTAAAGCATGGCTTGAGAAGATGAAAACCCTATTTATCAGAAAGGGTTGTGGATTCTCCTCACGGAGTGTTATTACAGGTGATGCATATAAAGGAGTCAATGAGATTGGACTGCCTTTTGAAATTGCTCAACGGATAACATTTGAGGAGAGAGTTACTCAATATAACATGCAGTATCTGCAGAAGCTGGTTGATGAAAAGTTGTGTTTAACCTATAGGGATGGTTTGTCAACCCACTCGTTGAGGGAAGGTTCGAAGGGGCATACTTTTTTAAGACCTGGTCAAGTGGTACATCGACGGATAATGGATGGGGATATTGTTTTCATCAATAGACCTTCGACAACGCATAAACATTCCCTGCAAGCTTTGTCGGTTTATGTTCATGATGACCATACAGTCAAGATCAACCCTCTTATATGTGGGCCACTTAGTGCTGATTTTGATGGTGACTATGTCCATATATTTTATCCTCAATCCCTTGCTGCAAAATCAGAGGTTTTGGAACTGTTCTCTGTAGAGAAACAGTTGCTTAGTTCTCATAGTGCAACTAACGAATGTATTTTGGACTCTTTTTAACTCTAAAATTAGACATTAACCATACAGAGGGAAACATAAAACTTAAACCTTCATCTTCGCAATACAGAGTAAACTCATTCCCCATGTAGTGTACACAACCAAAGACCAACAAGAAAATAATAAAACAAAAATAACATGTGATTTTTGGCAATGCAAAATATACATATTAGCCATAATGAGATACACAAAACTTTTGTGACTAATAAACACACACAAATTTCATCAACAAAATTGTTAGTTATATTCTAACACAAGCACAAATCACTAGTCCCACATAAATCAACTTATAAGAATCTTCTTCTAACAAGAAAACTATTATTTATATATATGTGTACGTACCTTATCGGGATGAAGATAGACTTTGTCTCTGAAGAGAAGAACAGCACTGGCCTCATCAAGAACACGGGTGAAAGCAGCGACTGAGTGTTCCTGAAAATCAAATAATTGTAGTATTTCAAATAATTCATGTACAATTACAGACTCTCACTGAAAACACAATAACTGAAATATATGGAGTGACAAATACTAAAAAATGATTAATCAAAGATAATAAATTTACTATATATACATACTTCCACAACTTCAATTTGTAGATAAACACAAAAAACAAACCCACCAAGAAAACTAAATTATATTCTCCTATATTGTATTTGAGTCCAAAATTCTCCTAAATTATATTCTTAAAGATCCAAAAGTCAAAAAAAAAATGGATCTAATAAACAAAATCACAGTAGGCCATCATTGATGCATTTTATCAAACATTTGACAAACAAGAAAAATGGGATTTGAACTCTAATGAGAGAAACCAGACATCACAACAACACCCCTAAAAAAAATTCTAAAAAGGCACTTGGCAAGAAAAAAAATCAATTAGGGCATAGAAATTGCAATTTATAGGGCAAAGAGAGACAAGCACAATTTGCCAATAGAAAAAATAAGAAGCTGAAGAAGGGGGGGAGAGAGAAAGAGAGAGTCCCCCCCTTCGGCGACCCTTACCCTACGGCCACGCCTAACAAACCCACGGCGACGCCCCTCCCTACCTCATCTACGCCAAGCACCTCTACCGTTCTCGCCATTCGCTACCTAGCTCATGCTTGACAATTGTTTGGGTATGCTATTTGGACTCTTGAAGTCTACTATTTGGATGTTGAATGAGAAGAGAAGAGAATAGATGAGTGCGTACCGTTGATTGTCACCGCTGCCGAATCAGTTTCGCCATACCGTCGAAGTGTGCACAAAGAGAGAGATTAAAACCCTACCCTTCCCTTTCATTCCCTTTTGAATCCTCTATCTTCTGCCTCTCTTCTCATTTTCCTCTGAATACAATGAGATGAGGCTTGGGTGTGTTTATTCAGTAAAAGGGTCAGTCCAGTCTTTAAAAGAAAAAAAAAATCTCTACAAATCCATCTAGTTCTAGTGGTCTCCTACCTAGTTCCTTTGTAAAAAGTGTGGAGCTTGGCGTGGCCTTCGTTTTGATCCGAAAATCATTGGGTTTGGAGCATCTCGAGTTTTCTTCATCTCCTCCATTGCGTCTCTTCTTTTGAGGTAGGGATACCCTACTCTTTCTTATGGGTTTTGACATAAATTTTAGTCATTTTGATTAGATGGTGAATTATGGTAATTTTGGGGAGGTTAGGGTTTGATTTGTGATTTATAAAAGAGGGGTTTTTCCATGTTTGAGTCAAATATGTATAAGAGACTTGAAATTGGGCTTGTTTATGAAATGTGAGTGAAACTTGGGCCTTGGGGGCAATATTGTGAATAGGGGAAAATTTAAGCCCTAATCTAATGAGATTAATTAATTTGGGAAATATGGAAATATGAAATTGGGTTGAGAATCATGAAATTGGATGGAATTGTGGTAGAATGGCGTGGTTGGATTAATTTATCACTCACTTATGAAATTGTTGATTATTTATTTGTTCGATAAAATTATTATCTGTTTAGAAATAACTACTTTGGGCTATCGGTGGAGGATAGTCTTGATTGTTGTAGACACTGTATGTTGATTAGGGAAAACTGAAACTAATCTCCTGAAATATGTCATTAAATATGACGGTTGGAATAATACATGGAATATGTGTATTGATTGATCATTGTATATGATAAGTGTTTAAATACATTGTATATGTATGTTGTGTGGGAGGAGATAGGGGATGTACTCCATGATTTGAGAGGAGATAGGAGATGCAATCTCAAACCTGTTTGGGAGGAGATAGGGGATGGACTCCATTAATAACTAAGTTGGCCATAGTGTCCGGGGTGAAAGTCTCAAAATCCAAATTGCGTTTGCATAACGTAGATAATTGAAGCATTAAAGTGTTCTTATATGAGTTGTTGTCTCATTTGAATTGTGGAAAAATGGAAGTGTTTTAATATGAGTTGTAGGCTCATTTAATTGTTGGCTAGATAATGAGCCATGTTTATATATTTGAATTGGATGAATAAAGGAAAGTGGAATGAAACATGTACATACTTGTCGTGGAACTGGGATGTGTTGTAAGTTGGTTTACAATTGTTAACCATTTAACGAATGTTAATGCTTTAGTTATTTCTCATATTTGGTTTAGTATATCTCTACTGGGCTTTGACTCATTCTACATGGGACATCATTTTCAGGTTCAGGTGATAAGCCGCCTCCAATGACGTAGCTTGGGAGGCTTTGAGGCTGATAGATCTTTTTGTTGTTCTCTTTTGGTGTTACATGTAAATTCAAGCAAAGGGCTTAATGTGTATTTGAGTTAGTACTCTCTTTTTGTAACCAAGTGTTGACTTGGAAAGTTGTAAGCCTGTAGGGTATTTACTTTTATTGTCAACATGTAATACTTTTGTAATGAATACTCTGATACATGGAAATATGCTTTATTCTCGTATGTCTATGGATATCTTGAATGTTGGGTTTATGTATTATTTTGAGGGCGTTATAATGTAAGGGTGAAAATATAAAATTTTATAAATGTGGGGTATAAATGCATGAATTTGAAATTTAAAAATAAAATAATATTTAATAATAATTAGGAAGATGTTCACTTAATTAACTCCCTATATTAAAGTAGAGTTTTATGTGAAGTAATCTGGTCGTTCTCTATCCAAGCCATAGCTATCTTTCAACATAGATATTTGTTTATTTATTTTGATTGCTTTGAATCTTTTATTTTTAAATTACTAATAGCTTCATTCTCCCTCTATTTTCTCCCCTTCCTCACCCACCGTAACTTATCCCATCTTACTCTCTTTGTCTATTTAACATTTATCTTCCATTAATTAACAAATATCAGTCTTATTATGATTTATGTCATGTAAATTTATCAAATATATTTATGGGTTTTTTTTTTTAGGGTCCTTGGTATTAAGACTTTATAGTACAAAGGACATCTAATATTTTCATAATGTCTAAGGTCCCTCAATTTGATCCAGAGAAATTCTTTCCAGAGAAATTTCAACCCAGAGAAATTTATTTATTTTGATTGCTTTGAATCTTTTATTTTTAAATTACTAATAGCTTCATTCTCCCTCTATTTTCTCCCCTTCCTCACCCACCGTAACTTATCCCATCTTACTCTCTTTGTCTATTTAACATTTATCTTCCATTAATTAACAAATATCAGTCTTATTATGATTTATGTCATGTAAATTTATCAAATATATTTATGGGTTTTTTTTTTTAGGGTCGTTGGTATTAAGACTTTATAGTACAAAGGACATCTAATATTTTCATAATGTCTAAGGTCTCTCAATTTGATCCAGAGAAATTCTTTCCAGAGAAATTTTCAATTTTTTTGATTTTCTATGTTTTGAAAATGTCTCATCCAATTCCCAAAATGGTGCGAATCAGAGTATTTTCTGGTGATTTTAGGTACATCATACATGAAATCCACAAGCAATTGTTAAACTAAAGTTGGTACACACCATAAGGCTATAAGTGGATCAAATTCTTGAAGGAGTAAGTACCAAGAAGAAACCAATCTACTAGAAGGAAGGTGAAGAAGGCCAAGAACGTTATGAAAGTCCATCCTCCGAAGGTGATTCCCAGACCAAATATGATGACAAATGGTAAGTAAAATTGGATCATTGATGCTTTGCTGACCCACCGTCCCTTGAGAAAAATCAAAGCTGCGAGGTTCACTACGTTCCACCCACCAGAGAAATTTCTCTTCAGAGAAATTCTGGATTCTCTGTGTTTTAACCAAATTTCTCTGGACTTCGAAATTTCTCTCCAGAGAAATTTTGAATTTCTCTGGATTCTTTGTGTTTTGACCAATTTTCTCTGCACTTCGGGATTTCTCTCCAGAGAAATTCAGCCCAGGCATGTCGATGTAGCAAAGAAAGTGAAAGTACGCAGCAACCCAAATCCATCCCAAAAGAATGTCTTCTCCAAACCAAATGCCAAAGAGTGAATGTCTTGCCTAATTCCTCAGTCCCATGTGCCATCTCTGCCTCTGATCTTTCCAGTATATGACCTACTGCTCCATCTCCACCAAGCATAGCAACCATAACAACCATATTCAGCAGCTGTTACATCTCCTTTAATTCAAAAAACAGAGTGATAGTTGCTCCCTGCAGCAAAGCAAATCTGTCATGTCCCAGAGAAAATCTCAATCCAGAGAAAATTGAACATTTCAATCTAAAGATCAGTACCTATTAATTTCAATCTACACTAGTAAAAAAACTTCAGAGAAAGATTTGTAATGTGAGTCATCCGTATGAAGGAATGGTTAATTATGCATAAAAATTCAGAGAAAGATTTTTCATAAAACAATATTTCTTGTTCTGATTCCCATCCATATAAATTTGAGTTTTATTTTCCTTTAATATTAATTAATTGGTTTATGTTTAGAAACAACTTTCTATGGCTTGTTACTGATTGAGTTACTATTCAATCTTTACTGGTGCCAGAGATGTGAAGCATCTGATATGGGAGGCTGGCACTCCGCAGAATCTTCTGAGTTTGTAATTCCAGGAAGACTCTTAAGATCAAATCATATTCGTGCCATCTGGACCGTCGCTTTCACTGATTCGAAGATCGGTCCCAGTGATGTGAAAATCACATTCTTTTCCGTTGTGCTCCAGGAGTTGCAGAACGCTGTTCGGCCTTGGAACAATGTCCATCTTTCTTTCTTGTTATGCCTAGAACTGTGTGTAAATTTTCTGGTGTGTATGTGAATGTTAGTAAATTGATTTTTCGAATGATGTCCGGGTTCGGAATATGGAGATGGAAGACCAAGCTCAGAGAAATGACAGTCACATCGTTAACATCTTGGGCATCTTCAGCATCAACATTGAATCATCATCATCATCACCGGTTGTCTCAGATACCGAATCGATCCTCAAATTGTCTTCTTCACATGGGTTCGTATCAGATTCAGCCGACGAGGATGAGGACGAAGATGTCGGAGTCTTTGATCAGAGGAGTTCAGGCGTGGAGGTACAAATGGGACCACGG